CACACACACACACACACACACACACACACACACACACACACACACGCACACACACACATAAAAAAATGTATATTTTTCTACGATGAGTTCAATATATTAAAAATTCAATTGTTCTATTAATTCCGTACGGCAATGTATATCTCGATATTAAAATCCGCTTAATACAAAAAATTATTCAGCGATACTGTTACGCATAAATAAAATACCTACCGCGCGGACGAATGTCGAGATAATTGAAATTTATCTGCCGGCGAGCCAAGATTCCGCTAATTGAGCCAGGATTTAATTAGCCGCGTTCCGAACGAGAGTACGCGGGCAAGACTCATTCGCCGTTTTGTTTCGCAGGATACTTCCCGCTGCCGTCGGTTTATTGCCTCGCCTGGATTTGCCTCGACGTGCTATTCTGCACCGCCAGCATAATGCATCTGTGCACCATAAGCGTGGACCGTTATCTAAGTCTGCGCTATCCGATGAAATTCGGGCGCAACAAGACAAAGAAGAGGGTGACGCTGAAGATCACCTTCGTCTGGATCCTGAGCATCGCGATCAGCCTACCTCTAAGTCTGATGTATTCGAAGGTAAGCCGTCGCACTTTCGCCACACAATCGCATTTTCGATTTCCATCCGCGATGATTAGGTATTATTTTGTAAATCAGAATCCTTTAGTTTTCTTCTTTTTACTTTTCCTCGTCTTTTCGTCTTTCTTTACTCTCTAAAAGTCGAAGAGTAAAATATCACTCAAAACGAGTGAAATGCAAGTGTATTGAAAAGTGAAAATTGAGCCTGTGCACTTTGAGTAATTCGCCACTCTAAAAAAGAGTAAAATTGCGCTCAATAAGTACGAGTACAATCGCACTCCACTTGAGTGAAAGGACACTCTTTTCGAGTGCAATAAATCAGTAATCATCAGAAGTGAATTATGTCACTCTATAATTTTGAGTGAAAAATTTCACTCTGTTAGAGTCATTTATCAATCGCTCTTTAGTGAATAGTGATTCACTATTGCTTTAGAACGAGATCGTATCACTCTGATAGGGTAGGTATCCGTTCTAAAAATTTGGGTAAAAAATTCACTTCTACCTTACGAGTGCCCGCATTTACTTAAATTAGAGTGACAATTCCTCTCTTTTGGAGTGACTATCACAATCACTGTAATATATTATTGGCGAAACCACTCTATGAGATTTAGAGAGTGTCTTCTTCTTTTTTATGTTCTGGCAAATATTAGATGAGTAGATGAAGACAGTTATTGGTCAGACAACTTTACTACTCTAGCTTTCTTTTTCATTCTTATTAACAATTAAAAATAAATTATAATATACAAATTATCTTTCTCCAGAATAAAATATCTGTAAAGATAATTTATTATATTTCATAAATAAATGGACTTTTCGATCGTATTATCAGAGATATCTCACATTTTCTCCTCTCTTGCTTTTTATTCGCTCCGTATTTTGATAGTTTTGAAAAAAATTATACATTTCCCCAGATATGAATACACGACCAGCTTACAACGGCTAAAATGTAACGGCGATAATTTTTTGCTACACTCTGCTCCGCGAACATGCTACTCAATTTTCCGTAACGATCGAAAGATTGCGCGGTATCACCACGTAAAATATCCTTCTCAGGTGGCAGACGCGAATCTCGATAACCGAAAGTTTATCGCCGTTTGCGGGAAGCGTTGCTCATCGATCATTCTCGATGCAGGATAGGAGCAGGATGGATTTATACAGGACTGCACATCGCGGCGCCCGTTTTTCATCGGCGCGGCGGTCCCGTCCGGAAAGGAGGAGGCCGGCGGCCGCGGTGGCGCGATATTCTCTCGCCCGAGTGAAATTAACGGCACGAGATGAAGCGACGTTATATTATGAAACAGTTGTCCGTTGTTTTCGGCGTACGCCCCCTTCGTAAATCCCCGAAACTAGCCCTTCAACCAGCCGTCGTTTCAATGCGGCTTTACGCCACAACCGTTCCCGAAAATCGCGTTAAATGTCACCGTCCAAATCCCGAAGCTTCGTCATTGCTAAATAACACCAGCAAACACGCAACACGCATTTCGAAGAGTTGCACGCCACTTGTACAATTTCATTCGCTGTAATTTATTTTACAGCTGAATGTATACATAAAACTTGTTTTATCTTCAGTTTATTCTTTATTGCTGTTACATATATTCTTTTTTATTTTTATGTTCTATACATTTACGTCAAAAATGTTTAAGCGACGTAAATGTTACATTACCGCACTGTTTTGACTCGCGTATGGAATTGGCTATTTGTCGCACAGATGGCGCGCGCGTAATGGGCCACTTTCCACGCACGTGTGATATAATAGTTATTTGTGTAACAAGTGAGGTAAGATGAAAATTCCCGGGTGCGGAGTTTACGCACGAGCCGAAGGCAAGTGCGGTAACCGCACCCGGGAATTTTCATCTTTACACATGGCTTACACTCCCTATTTTATGTTGCAAGTGCCTGGAAAGTGGTCTATCACGCACGCGTAGCGTGCGTAATGGGGCACTTTCCATGCACGTGTTGCATAAAGAATAATGGCGCACAGTGGAGAACCTAGTAGCTGCGCGCGACAACAAAGTAATTATACATGTCGCCTTTAATTTTCGCGAATGTAAACATGACTGCAAATTCCGGTGGAAAATGCCGGCGTTATGGGTTTTCCAGGGATGGATGTAATGTGTACACGTCTAACAGGTTATTTTCTTACCCCGGGTATGTTCATCGTCGTAGAAGCTGCCTCGGCTTGCAAACTGCTCTTACAAATGTGCAAACTACTTTTGTTTCACAACGCGCGAGAGAAAGAGAGAGACGAGACGGGACGGGACGAGACGACGAGACGACGAGCATCGCCGCATCGACGAGAGTTTGTCGGGCGAGTTTCAGCAACTTTACAACACCATTTACCAGCGCGTTTCAAGCCTTACTTGGGTATTGATCCAAATTTCGCGGCCGCCATGTACTCATTCAAAATTCCATCCAACACCCGAAGTGTAATTTGTTCTGTCAGGCGACAAAAATATTCCATACGATCGATTGTACACATGCCACGCATATTCCGCGTTTTTTCCCGCGTTGTAAAATCATTTGCTTTAAATTACGCGTCAATCTAAGATCCAGACCTTATTGAAAAGTGGAGAAAATACAGACGCAGATAAAAAAAGTCTTCACGGCACGTACAATTTTTACATCCTGGATATCTCCATTTTCTCCATCGGGACATTTCTAGACATAAATTTCAGATTTTCCGTGAAATTGAATGTCAACATTTCGAAGTTTGTGAAATTGACACAATCTTTTTATTTTTTTAGAGACTTGGTATCACAAATTTATTAAGTCTGATTTTTCACATATCAACTTTTCGGACGCTGAATATTTTCATTTCTATAATTGAAACTTTTCGAGAGATTTTGTCATTTCCAAATCCAAATTTCCCCTGAAACATTTTTATCGTCGATCATAAATTTCAGAATTTCTGTGAAATTGAAAGTCACAATTCCGAAGTTTGTAAAATTGACATAATCTCTTTATTTTTATATCGACTTGGTGTCACAATTTTTTAAGTATGTGTGTATTTGGCCTTTTTCTTTTCAATTTTTATATTTATACGAGCGTGTTATTATTATTATTTTTATTTTTAAGTATGATTTTTGACGTATTAACTTTTCAGATTCTGAACATTTTCCTATAATTTAGACGTTTTCGGAAAATTTTGTCATTTTTAAATCCAAATTTTCCCTGGAACATTTTTATCGTCAATTTCATAACAAAAGTAGAAAATCCTTGATTTCTCGGTTTCTCAACTTCCTTCTTATCTCGAAAAACCTACATGGAAAATTAAATGGTGCGGCGACGTCATCTCCGAGCCGCTTTCCATTCCCCGGAGACCCTATGTCGACTGGAGTGCTATCGACTGACGTCGAGCGGAATTCGCACCTTCCGGGAACACGTGTGGCGGATGTACACGTGCGTGGGCTGCGATCTTGCAACGAGGGAGCGTCTATCTCCTCATCTTTTTCCCGTTTCCTTCCTCCCCCGCGCTCACCGACGGGCGTTATGACCCGCGCTCGATCAAGGTGACCGCCGCGCGCCGCGAAAGCGGAACACGAGCTGACCATTACGGACGACGGAGTCGACAGAGACTGAAAGCGGAAGCGTATTTCAAGGAAGATTCATGTCTACGGGGTGACCCGCGAGCCTCGCGTCAAACTTTAACGATGAGCAACGATGAATTATGGAGTGTATTGTCTCGCGTATACTTCGCGCTAACTTTTGAAACAAAGTGCTCGAGGGGACGTGTAAGGATAACTCCATGATCATCTCCGCAAGTCTAAATTATTAATCAGTTGTTTACAGAAAATAACAAGTTACAGACAAGTGCCGACAGTCTATTTATTTACTGGCACCACGCCCTGTAAGAATTAATTATTATTATATCATTATATTAGAAAGAAATATATATATATATATATATATATATATATAAATTAAGCGTTAATGATTAGAACTTTAATCAGAAATATAGAAATAACACAATTATTTGTCTATAAAAATGTAATTTATTGATACATAACGTATATGTAGAAAATAAAAAAAACTCATGAAAAAAGGAATTATCAACTTATTTACAATCATTGCGCAGCAATGTATGAATTATTTTCATCGTATTCCGATCTTTCTCTCTATTTATTTTTGTTAATAAAAATTAATTTCTTGAATTAAAAAAAAATTAAATACGTTCGCACTATTCCATAAATATTACTATTCACAGCTTCGTAAATAACTAAATTGGCGAGCTGTTCATTAATCTTCTTGATTCTGCTTAGAAACCTAATTAAAGAATTGTAAGGCGGGAGACTGATAACACTGAGTAAGTCTGACGCAACAGCTTTATTACAGCTGGCAGAGTATTCCGCTGATTAAATAGACACGCTAGGAAAACCGAATATAAAAAAGAGACGTGAGGTTATTAACGAAAGGTGACGACGAGCGTATTGCGATGCCATCGCAATGACGAATGGCGGACGACAGGATAACGGAACGGGCTGACACATGTTTCCGGCCTTTAATCCTCGGTATACTCAAAGGGTTCGGGCGGTTCGGCTTCCTTCTCTTCTTCCGGTTTCGGTCCGAAAGCTGAAACAAACCGGAAGTACTCAAGCGCACGCTCTTCGAGCATACTCGACACTCCAAAAGTAACGGATCGAATTGGTCCGTTTATTTATAATAATTGCGTTTTCGTGAAAAAATTTCCTTTTGTAAACAATCAATATCAAAAATATATTACAGATTATGCGTAAAATCTTAAATCCTCGACAGTATATAAATCAATAAATAACATGTATGCGAATAAAAAATAAAGTTTAATAATAAAAACTTTATTTTCTGAAAACCAAGTGATTAATAAATATCTTGAAATCTATGCCTATAAATTCATGAATATCGTATAAATAAAATTATACTTCAAGAACTTGCTTCACTATCGCGAAATTGCCAATTCAATCATTCTCATTGTCAGATAAATATAAATTAAAGTTACTTTTTCGACGAGATCAATTTCTGAAAGAAAGTTTTGAGCTCTTTAATCAGCGAACACAGGATCAATCACTCACCGGCGACGGGCTCGACGAGTTCCTCCTCGGTGTCCGTCTGCGTGTGCTTAACCATGACGATGCCGCCGATCTGAAGATCCTTAACAGAAGTATAATGGCTGCCTTCAACCAGCTGTATGACCTTCAATTGCTGGCGCAGAACACGCGCAGGATTCTGGAGGATCTCGAAACTCGGCTCGGGCTCCTTCTTCTCCTTTTCATCGTCTTTTACCACTTTTTTCTCGGGTTTCTCCTTGGTTTCCTTGGTTTCCTTAGTCTCTTTCTCGTCCTTCTTCTTGTCATCCTTCTCCTTTGAAGACGACGCAGCTTCCTTTACCTCATGAAGCTCTTTCGTCTCCGACGGCGGATCCTGCAATTTTTGTTTAGTTTGTCTTTTCTTATGTGGGGGAGTGTTTGAAATCTATTAACGTGTCATTTGTCATAAATTTGTTATATAAATTACCACGTTCATCATAAAGTCCCAGAATAGAAAAAATCTTAATAAATTATTTTGTACAACAATATTTTTGATAAAAGAAATGCGCAGAATTCTATTCTTGTTTATTGTAATTGAAACTTGAGGCTTAAGGAGATTCTACAGGTACTCTCTAGTCAGTTGAGAGATAAAGAAAAGAGAAAATCTTCAAATTCATCGATTCTAAGTATTCATAAAATATTTTCGTGAATTTTGATGACGTTAGAGCTTATATCATACCCATATTAGTCGAAGCGAAGAATAATTAAAAATATCGTGTAAGTGCTCCTTTGACTCTGGCGGCTTATACATGGAAGAAAATGTGGTAACGTCGCGAACTTGACAGTTCTACTCATATGACCGTGTTAGTCTAGTCAATGAGAATAAAATAGCAGGAATATAATAATGCAATTATTGTTTTCTATTTAAAAAATAATAATTTTTTCCCATTTTATAAAACTCACTTCCAATAAAAGCTCAATTAAATTATAAGTTATTAAAATACAAGTAAAAATAATTTAAAAATGAATTTTTATCAAATTGATGGCTCGATCGCGACAAATAAATACTTCAAGATATCAATGATACACATAATTCAGGCTTAAAAAGGTGTATATCGGATTTGAACATTCTCATAATTACTCTCGCTATTTTCTCGATAATTACTTCTTGCTATTTTTCTCGTTAAATTTGATTTGGCGCCAGATTACAAGAGAACATTTTTTCTGACATTCCCTGGCATTTCTTGATTTCTCCTTTAACTTACCACTTCCATCTTTTCATGAGAGTCCCTGGCTTTCCTTTCAGTCTCGCGTCTTCTGGCACGAGCCGCGATACTAAGAACGGCGGTCGTAACCTTCTCTCGTTCCTCCCTCTTCTTCTCTTCGAGAGGCGCGGGATAAGCATACATACTTGGCCTAGCATTTGATTTAATCTCCAATTTGGGCATCTTTAGCTGAGCGTTCAGAGCGATCAGACACGTCGGCGTAAAAGCCAGAGCCAAGCAATGCGCAAGTGGGAACCAGTACCAGTATTGAGTGAATACCAGAGCACCGACCACCGCCAGCATGTTCGTATGTCCCGTACGCGATTGCAGAGATACAGTTACGTTACGACCACCTACGAAAAGACGGAAATTCATTCGTCTCACTTCGCAGCTGCTCTTTTCGTTAATTTTATTTCTTTCACGATTCAAGTTATTAAAATCTCAAAGCGATAAAAGTGCGAAAGTTCGCATTTTCATGTGTAAGAAATCTCGCAAAAGCACTTTTGGAAGAATACAAGAATTTGTGTTTCAAAAATTAGAAAATTGCAAATTGTTTAAAAAATTAATAAAAATGTAAGAATTTAATGAATCAATTGTAAGTAATAAAAATTCTAAATTCTAAAAATTAAGAAATTTAAAAGCACGTTTTATATAAATACTAGTACCTCTACAAATTTCAAAAAATTTTATACGTTCAGAATCTATTTATAGATCAGAATACAGGATAATTCAATTTCAATTTTTTAGAAAAAATCAATTGCAGACTTGTCAAAATATTTATAGTTAAAATTGAAATATGCAAAAAAGTCTGAAGAAACTCACCGGCGTCGATGATCCCTTGCGCCAAAATTGCTCCAAACTTGGCCATCACGTCCTCGTGTTTGTCCACGACGACCTTAGCATATAATGCTCTAAAATCTTTAACACGGGCACACGTGGATTCCGTCTGCTGGATCAAAATCATGGCAGATGCGATCAGCGCACCTTGCCTGACGAAATTCACAGGATCATTAGTCATTGGGTCCAATAGAGCAATAGCTTCCTTCAGGCCGGTACCCGCGCAGGCGATACCCAAAGCCATCGCTGCGCCATACCGCACATGAGGATTATAGCTTTCCGCTAAGAGGGACACCACACTAGGACATTGCTCCGGAGTCCTGGAACATATAAAAAAATCGCAATTCTCATTTTTCGCTCAGACTTATTGATTTGTGACATTTGTGTCATCCTCAATATTACTAATTACTATAACATATTTTTTCTAATTTTTTAATATTTACCATTAGCATATTATAATTTAAGTTAATATTATATATTTATCAATTCTTTTTATCAATTTCATTTTCTATTTCTTCTTCGGGATCTTGTTATTAAATTTTTTAAATTAAATATTACTGTCAAAATTTATATTTACTTTATAAATACAATTATGATTCTTTTCATCTTCTTGATGAAATAAGTTTTATAATTAATCCATTTATTACATTTTTAATAATCGCAATTTTGAAATAAATTTTAATAAAAAATTAATCACCTTTCGCGTTGAGAGTCGTCAATATTAAATTTAATAAACCATTAATTCTTTCATATACCATCAATAAAATAATATGTTGCAGTACGCTACTTAAAAGGTTGCGGTATTTAAATGGATGTACGTTCATAAATTCTAATTACATAATAATTAATTGATAATAATTTGCTGTTAAGTTAATAACGTCGCTACGCCTCTGGTACGCTCGAATATTTATGTGAATTAATATCAAACAATAATTAATAGATCTATTTTCTCATTTTGTTTTAGGAAGATGATTCGGTACTGGTGGACGGAACCTGCCAGATTCCCGATCCCCTCTATAAGTTAATCGGTAGCATAATTTGCTTCTATATCCCATTGGGAGTGATGCTGCTAACGTACGCGTTGACAGTAAAATTACTGGCGGAACAACAACAGAACATCGGTGGGACAGGAGCAGGTTGGTCATCAGGGTGGTTGGGTGCCCCTCAGGGTGCACCCTCCGCGGCAGGTTAGTGTACTATGCACTAGCCTGTTTTTCCATTCCTAAAAACCTAATATCGATTGATCCTCTTGCGACTGAGACACTTTGCCTCAATGCCTCATTTAATATTTTTTATTCGGATTCTACTTTGCCACAATTTTACTTTACTTTTTAGAAAGAAACAAAATTTTTTAGACCTTTTATTCTTAAATATACATATATTTATAAAATATGATAAGATATATAAATATTTAATTTAATTTTTCGAAGATTAGCAAAAAATGAATATTAAAAGATTCCATCTTAAATTTTCAGAATCCATAAATATAATAAAGCTTGCGTGAACACTTCGATAAAATGTTTAAGAAATTCTAGATTTCTTCTCAAATTTCCATTCTCTAAATTTTTAAACGTTCGATCGATCATTGATGTTTCAAGTTTTCACCAGTAGAAGTGCTTTTAGAATCGTAATTAAATAACACAAGTGGTTAAAACGTATTTCTCTTCCATCTACACTTTTATCATTTCACGGACCACTAGCTCCTGCAATTTCCTGCTTTCTTCCCATCAACTTGACAATGATAAAAAAATAAAACATGACTATTGTTCATCAAATGTTACCCTGTTGCTCATCAATTTTCCATTGTTGGCAAATTTTTCTCTCTAAATCCATAAAAGTGAATAAACTTAAAATGTAATGTTTTAAAAAAATATATTAAAACAAATCTTAATAAAAAATGTAAGATGTAATCAATACGGTAATGTATCCTTCTCACCAATTTTTTATCTCTTTCCGCACGGCAGTGCTTCCCAGTTTTTTTCCCGGGGGATACATTTTATTCGGAAACGAGCGAGGCGCCGAGCAGAGGAAACTGCGATTTAGTTTCTCCGCCTGATAAAAATTATTTATTCCGATTTATCGGTCGGCTTCCGGGACTTCAAAGGATACCGTGTGTCTGCAGGCGTCTCATAAACGTTTTCCGAGAACGCTGGGCGCAAATTCGTCCCCCTCGACAAAACGTTTCGAGGGAGAGAACTCTCCTACCGTCTCCCTTTCTCTTCCGCGACAGAAAGTTTCGCCGGAAGCCACATCGTCTATTGTCGCTTTGATTTTACCTGGGCAACCCTCCGATTACTGCCTCAAACAGAATTTGCATACCAACTTCACGGCGGAATGCACCGCGCTATTTTATACACTGCGTTGCGCAATTATTGCATTTTAAAACGCATTCTTGATGAAGTTTTCTGGCCAGCTTTGAAGAAAATAAGAGTCGCGAGACATATTGTCTCATACATATTGAATTAAAAATGTAAACAATGAAAAAGTAGATTAATTACAATTTCATATATTCTCTGTAAAAGTTGAAGAGTAAAATATCACTCAAAACAAGTAAAATGCAAGTGTAACAAAAAGTGAAAATTTAACTGGTGCACTTCGAGTGATACGCCACTCTAAAAAAGAGTAAAATTGCGCTCTATATATTATATATAAATTGAAATAAAATCACATGCTTCATTTGAGTGAAAGGGCACTCTTTTCGAGTGCAGTAAATCAGTGTTCATAGAAGTAAATTATGTCACTTAATAATTTTAAATGGAAAATTTCGCTCTTTAGAGTCATTTATCAGCGATCTTTAGTTAATCGTGATTCACTATAGCTTTATCATTCCAATGAGGGAGCAGCCGCTCTAAAAATTTGAGTGAAAAATTCACTCCTACCAGTTTCTTCTTCATGAGTGAGTGCTCGCATTTAGCCTCAAATAGAGTATGACAATCCTCTTTTTTGGAGTGACTATCACAATCACTCTAATATATTAGTGACGAAACCACTCTATGAGATTTAGAGAGTAAACCTTTCTACTTATGTTTCTCAAATAATTCTTGGGAACTTTTCGGAGATAATGCAAAGTTCTTGCGGTTTCGTAATTGTTTCTCGTCACAAGTTAGGCAATTGTAATCTATTATCTATTCGCGGATCTCTGGCGTGTGCAATTCGCCATTACGGTATAAATAATTCGGCATGCAACATCAAAGATGCCCGGTGGGCGATGGTCGTTTGATTAATGGTGTCAGCGCGCGGTACGTTTTTTCGCGTCGAATCGATCCCGGAATCGATGGTATACGAGGGACTAGGCTAGGCTTCTGTCTAAAAGCACTTTGCGACAAGAAATTTCGCCGGCACGTCAACGGAAGCATGTCGACGTCCACGGCGGAGATATGCAAATGCCGGCCATTATGCAAAGATCTTGGATGCGGCACAGTATGCTAAGAAGGCCCCGTCCGACTACTCGCCGATATGAAAATTAATCGATACCCCGTTGGGCGCGAACCCCGTTCACGGGCACTTAGTATTCCGCAAGGATTGAAAGATTGCAGAACATGACACAGAAATCCTTTAAGTACCTCATTAAAAGTTAATAGCTCTTATCGACAGACTCAAAATATCCCGTTAATTTAAAAAAAGAGATAAATTCAAAAAACAAAATTAGAAAAAAAATAAACAAAATTTACTTAAATTAAACTATTTTTTAAAAGAATTTTTTAGAAGAAATTTAAAATAACCTATACTTTTAAATTTATAAGAATTTTTTACTAAAGAATAGTAAATAAGATAAATTGTTTGAAGAATTATCTTTATTTGTAAAACTCCTATTTTCAATCAATCAATATTCATTTTTACCATTGTCGATTCTATGATTCATAGACTTCAGAGTAGGTACGATACAGAATTTTTTGCAAGGAGTGGTTGAGTACCTTCTTGCGAAGAGAGCACTCGCATTAATTCACTTCAAAAAGCTTCAAATCGAAGAAAAAAACAAATTTAATCTTCAATATCTTCAGTCGCTAAATTTACTGAAATCTCGCGTTTTTCAACAAAAGAGCATCCCCCTTCGTTCGAACGAAGAGTAAATCCTGCATTTTCCGAAGCTCTCCAATCGCCAAGTCGCTAGAATCCCGATATAAAAAGAAAAACAAATTCCCCTTCATTCACGGATAAAATAGAAGATCAGCGGAATTATTCTTCCTTCCCCGATCAAAAGAAATTTCTGATTAATCGCTAAAATCCCTGGTCCTCCGATAATTCGCGTAGGGCTCGAGCGACGGGGCACCTGGAAGAGATACCTCTTGAACAAGGGCTCGGGCGGCAGCAGCGGCACGCCGCAACACACCTCCGGCACGTCGACCGACACCGAGCTGACCACCCTCGACACCCACGAGCTCTGGCTACAGGAGAGCGAACCACCACCCTCGGCCATGTCCGCCCTTCATGCTTTCGGCGCGGAGATGCTAAAGCTATCGAGGGGTCTCGAGGGAATGGCCGGTAGCTCCGGCAATCAGACCCCATCAAAATCGACAACCCAACACCAGCATCATCATCATCATCATCATCATCAGCAGCAGCAGCAGCAGCAGCAGCAGCAGCAGCAGCATCAGCAGCAGCAGCAGCAGCAACTGCTGCAACTGCAACAGCACGGTCCATCACCGCGTAGATGCAGCTTCCGCAATGGGTATGATGAATATTGCAAGTCAATTATGTGTTTGAGAATTATAATTCTTTCTAAATTATAATTCTTGTCTTACAGTATAAGTTTCGTAACTCAAACATAATGAAAATAAAATGTGTGGTTAGAACAAAATAATGGAAAATATAAATTTAGACATACATATATACTAGCTAAAAGTCGAAGAGTGAAATGTAAGTGTAACAAAAAGTAAAAATTGAGCCTGTGCACTTCGACTGATTCGCCACTCTAAAAAAATAGTAAAATTGTGCTCTATAAATTGGAGTGAAATCGCACTCCATTTGAGTGAAAGAGCACTCTTCTCAAGTGCAGTAGATCAGTATCAATAGAAGTGAATTATGTCACTCAACAATTTTGAATAAAAAAATATCACTCTGTTAGAGTCATTTATCAGTCGGTCTTTAGTAAATCGTGATTCACTATAGCTTTATCACTCCGGTAGAGCAGTCACTCTAAAAATTTTAGTGAAAAATTCACTCCTATTTTATAAGTGCCCGCATTTACTCAAATTAGAGTGACAACCCTCTCTTCTGGATTATTGCAATCACTCTATATTAGTGGCAAAACCACTCTATGAGATTTAGAGAAATAAATTCTAAAGATTGAAAAGAAACCAATCATACACGCTATCGAAATAATAAATTAATAAATAGAAATAGGTAAAATTTATATTCATCTTATTTCTATCGGTATCTTATTTTTAGCGGTAAAAAAAAGAGTCTTTCATGAAAGTTTTCCTTCCCTTAAACAACTTTCAGGCAATTCTAATTAATTAATTTTCATAAAGTTTTTTAATTTTACTTTGCCCTCTGTTCTTTCTCTGTTCCTTACCGTTTTTCTCTGCGGTTTTAACAAACACGTATTGCTTTATGTAAAATGCTCTCGGTACATGACGAATTTATCCCCGACGCAATTTTGCGAGGAGGGAATTCCGTGCTTGTCTGAATTTTCGCGGCGGATGCTTTCGCAATTATTAACGACATATCCATCGCGTCGTAACCCGCGGGCTCTCAAAACACGCCATTGTGCCTGATGGCGGCACGTTTCCGTGGCAATACGACGGCATGAATTTACGTCACTTTGTCACTCTGGCTCACACAACACCGTGACTACTACGAGACGCGGTTAGCCTTGCGTCAAATCAACTTACACCGGCAGCTGGAGAGTTTCCGGCGAATTTATGTCGCCATACAATCTACCAAAAACCTACGCACGCAACTATATTGTCGAATATCTTAATAAGCGGAGAATTTCTTATAATATTCCATATTCGCGTCTGTAATCCAAATTTATGATATTCAATAAACGTTTAATGTTCTTCAATTTGAATCTCGTATTGCTATCACAAAAGCTATACTTTCCGAAAATTTCCTAAAAACGAAGCATGTTGCTCTCAGAATATTTTTGAAAATATTCGCACGCGCGCTTCTGCATGAATATATGTATTAGGGTAACTCCGGTATTTACGCCGCAGATGTCAGAAAAAATAGAAGGAATAAAGGTACTTGCTCGCAATTATTCTGGTTATGTGCATAGCTCTTGTATTTTTTGTTTAACTTAATATCTTGTATATCTCTCCTGTTTAGGATATACGGCAAGTTTGCGGAATTTATGTCATAATACAGGCACTTTGTAAAACTCGAAATCTCCTATGTATTCTTTTTCCTTCTTTTTTTTGGATAACAATAATCTTTAATGCATCTATCGCTCTTATATATTTTTTTTTTAATTTTTTCTGTTTTATAATTTGTTTATCATTCTTAATAAACTTCTTACACACATTTTATAATTTATTATGAAATTTTATTGTCTTATTTATAAACATTATTTGTAATTTTTTTTATAAGGCGTATATTTCACCCATGAATGTCATACAACCTACCTCTTTGGGATATATGGTAAAAATGCAAGAGTTTCTAAAAGTTTTTTTTATTAAATAATACAAAAAATGAATATTTTATCAAACAAAATTTAAATAAATGGCTTGCAAACTAACGAAATATTTGTGCTACATTTATTATATTCTGGACAACACAGCTAATCAACAAACAAACGTTTCGGCCATTACAGTGGCCTTCTTCAGTGTAACAAAACAATAACTTTAATCGTTGAATATAAATAATTAACGGAATAGTCTTTACATCGTTATTAAATTAAAATTAATTTGATGTATCAGTAAAATTAATTTGATATATCAGAACTTATTTCGGGGATTATTCTTGCTCATTGCTTAACAAATAAATCAAATTAATTTTAATTTAATAACGATGTAACGACTATTAGAGTCGTTACATCTATATAAAATATAATAAATGTAGCACAAAAATATCTCGCTAGTTCGTAAGCCCTTTATTTAAATTTTGTTTATATTAAGCGAACACTATCAACGAATTGTTAATATTTTATATTTCTATTTTTTTATAGTAGTAGGTAAACAGTAGTATAAAGTTTTTATTGGTATAATTCATTTGCCTTAAACATAGTAAATAGTATTCGATAAATTAAGTTTCTGTTAGCTGCGACGTACATACATACCGAAGTTACCCTATATTCCGAGTTTACAAACCCGCTAATATTGTCGTCAAAAAATATATCTACATATGTCGAATAAGAAATTTTATTTTATATTTTTAATTCGGATAATTAAAATCTACAAAACTTCCAAAATCAACAATTATTACTTCTAATTTAAGAAGAATTTTTAGTAAAATATCAAGAGACACGGCAGTGTCTCGCGCCAAGTACACGCGGAGCGAGACCGACCGTGACTCTTTTATGCGACGCGACGGGTTGCGACTCGCAACTTGCGAGTATCCGAGATGTTGAGATCTCGATAACGAGTGAACGGATCAAGTTCTAAGTAGGCTTGATCGATAGCTTGGGGTCGAATTAAGGGGGGGGGGTTCTCTTATAATATTCCGCTACGTGCCCTACAAGCGGAGATATTGCGACGCAAAGTCCAAATGTGAAAATTTATTTTTAAGATTAGTTTATTTTTAGAAATTAAATGTCAGTTGAAAAAAATTAACTTTCAATTATCCGGGAATCTAAAATATATTTCCTGGGATGTCCTTACACACAGGATCATCACTTACTTCCTCAAGGAATCGAAGAAGAGAAAGAAAGAGAGATAGAAAGGAAGTGAGTTGCGGGAGAGAGGAATTATATTTGACATCGTTTAGAGCTTCTAGCGTTGATCCATGAGAATACGCAAACTGAAAGTGGAATGAGAACGTGGGAGTGCGACCGGAATATTAAAACTCCTCCGACCTACCGCAGTAAAATATGTTTCAATCATAATCCACCGATCTGCTGTCCTGCGCGTCTTCGATTTCCTACCTCCCGCTCCCCTTTGAACGTTTAAGAAGTATGTTTAAAGTTCAAACGCGCTTCGAAAAATCACAAATCAACACGACAAATAGTACCTCGCAAAAATAAAATACAAGAATTTAATAATTTCAGAACAAAAAATAAAACTTCATGAAATCAGAAGGAGTAAGAATGCAGAAGAGATCTTCGGGAGAGATTTTCGAATTTTCAGAAAGTAGCGAAGCGCGAGGATCTGCAAGGAATCCAGAAATCTTTGGAAAACGAGTTATCTATACAATTCGAAACACGCAAGATTGTCAAGACGCAAACGGCGGGAAAAGTCTTGCGAGGAGCGCGAGAGCGAAATCGTATCGGTTACCGAACTGAAAGGCAAAAATCTCTCAAAGTAAATTGGTGCAATCATTAGATCGCAATATTTCAGATTGCGCAGCTTCCTTTCCCAGCTCCCTTCTTTACTCTTGCACTTAATGGACGTATTAGTAACGAAATCCCGGAGCAAGTCCCCTTTGGTTTTATGGTATATTAAAGCTCCGTCCAAGAGTTCATCCGCCATAAAAGTTAAAACAAATCCCAGATCGTGCAAGATCAACGGAAGTCCTTTGATCCCTTTTAGAAAGCGGAAAAATTTAATTCTACCCAAATAATAAATATACGTAACTTAATCTTGCGAAAAATAACTCCTAAAGTAATAAATTCCTGATTTTATACAATTTTATCGATATATATTTTACAAAACGATGAAATACGTCACTTTTCAGGATGTATATATATATATATATATATATATATATATATATATATATGGATAAAAGTCGCACGCGTGATTACACAGCTATCGCGATTTTTTGAATTTTGCATATTCCATCCGGCGAACTTCTCGAAAAGCTCCCTGAGTCCTCGCGGGACTCACGTGAAAACGCGAAAGCGGACGCGTCAGAAAGGTCACCGCGACGACGAGAAAACCCATTTATATACGGTAGCCTCAAAGTGGATTGCACTTAGCTGTTGGCATTCAAAGTGCAAAACGGACCAACCTCCGGACGGGAACGAAAAGGGCGAGCGAAGGGACTGACGGAGAGGGAGGAGGGAAGGAGGGAGGGAGGGAGGTCGCAAATGGTGAGTTTCGCTCGTTCGCTCGTGGTCGCGTACTTAAGTAAACTGCTCTTGCCCCCACGTGAACCTCTAATAAAGGAATGCACTTAGGATCGTGCCTCTGAACGCATCAAACGAAGATTACCTCTCCATTGCGCGCAGAGGACTTTGCCTTTCGAGAAGCCGGGAGTTGCTTTCTGTCGATCTCGTAAATTAAATAACAGCAGAGTATTCAAAGACTTCCCTCAGGATGTTTTTCCATCAATTGTTATATTATAAATCGAATTATATTAAATTTAATAACAAAGTAATGAAACTCTAGCTAGTATACACATAGAACTGATAGCACAACTGCGGTAGTATAAAGAAGAACAATTTCTCATTAAAAAAATTAATAAAAATTTTCATACAAAGCTTCTTTTAAAAAATTGGAAAATTAGTAACATATTTACGCTTTCTCAAGTAGCATTTCAATTCAGAGTTCAAGTTCTACGAAGTAGTAAAGATTGTTTTTATTGCATGTTTTTTATTTTTATTAGATATATTTTGTAAGAAAATTTAAATTAACCTTTTGTCATCCGTCTGGAGCTTTAAAGGCCCAAGTGAAATTTCTTTCTTGCATTTCTTCGTGGAGAAAAGGAGGCGGTGTTTGGTATCCCCCCCTTAAAAAAAGTTGGTAGTAGAAGTTTCGCTGCCGCGGTGACGCCGGTTTCAGTCGATGCGTGTTTGAGCAATGACCCGGCAAAATTAAGTGCTCTAAACGACCCAGATGCATGACGGCGTTAGTGTTTACCGTAAGTAAATGTTTCTTTTTGTTTTTTCACTATATTTCTAATAGTTTTTGCTAATTAAAGCACTTCTATCATTAGAGTATTATTTACAAAATGACGGAGGGAAACGCCGAACAATACAATACTTTTTTACTTTTTATTTATTAATTTTTTTTTATTAGTAATAATATTTTATATAACTAACAAATTTTTATAATAAAAATTTATTTTTAAATAAAGAAAAGTTTAACTTTATTTTTCTCTATATTTAGCATACGCGCGAATAAACCCCCTAAAATTTCATTATTTTTATTTAAAATAATTATACTTTTTGGAGTCGACTCAAATGAGACTACCATTCTTTCGAAAGGTCATAGTTTGAAGTACAAAACTACAATCATTTTTGTTAACATTTATTTGTTACAAAGTTATAAATTTTCAAACAAATTTCCATTCTTTTCCCACTTGTGTTGAAATTTCGCTTTGTATAAATTAGATTTAATATTTGGCTTTAAAACTTATTGGATATTGTAGTAGAGACGTTGACAAGTAACTCAGAAGTTTTTGAATTTTTTAAAAGCCTAGAACATAAAAATAACATAGGGTGGACTTAAAAGTCCCAGGCTGACGGCGCTAATAAAAATATAATGGATGACGGAGGGTTAATATATAAAAAATATTTAAATTAATTAAAAGGAAAATTAAATAACAAACTAAAAGTCAAAGGAAATATATATTAAATTAAATTAATATATAAATTGTGTGTGTGATAATTTAACATAAATTTTAATAAAAATAAGAATATAAATAGCAATTTTTTAGTAATCCAATATTTACAATATATAACGGCAGAGAGAAACCAAATTATATTCTCTGCTTAAAATGCATTTCCTCAAATGCATCTGTTTCTTCTTCAACCAAACCATCTCTCCGAACTCCTTCTTTCTCAACCCCTTCAGTTTACCTCGACAATATTTTTCTCAATTGCCGTCAAGACCGCGGCAGTAATCCACTCCGAGAACAATCCGTTTCTCTTTTCTTTCCAAAAGCATCCTCAATTATCCCCGAAACCCTGCCAACGCATTTTCCAAAGCGCTGATAAAATTGTCAATCTTCAACAACGATAACGCTCCGATAACGCTGTGAAGAGTGGAACTAAGTGGAACAGAGAGGAGGGGGAGCATAGAAAGATAACCATTTTATCTTAATTTTTAAATAACAATCGTGGAATTCTGTCTGTTCCGGAAACCATCGAACTCTTAATCTAAGTTTCTGAAATTTTCTTAAAATCCTAAAATTGTTATTTTATTATTTTTTATCTAAAATTCTTATTCCGTTATTATTTGTCCTTTTTCACACCATTATCTTAATTCCGTCTTTAAAATGTGACTTTTCTCTATGTCATTATCCTTTTTTCCAAAATCTAGATTGCTGGTCTCATAGGTTCTAGTTATCTCACGTTATCTCAATCATTATATTATTGCCCCGATTTTTCTTTTTAATCCGAGATTTTACTTCATTGTTTCGATATCTATTCGTTAGCGAATAAAGTACCGGCAACAAAGATATGGATATTTATAGCCATTCGAGTAACCAACGTGAATAACGGGCTGATAACGGTCGACGATGAGAACGCGTATCCACGGCCGTCGGCGAAGTTTTCGGTACAGGTGCACATCTCGCGTGTCTCTAATTTGCAAGGACGGAAGCAATTTTTTCCCCTCTCCTCTCGCGCACAAGCTCATCCAATCTCGCGATCAATTACCGCACCACATTGCAAAATGGGATAAAATCGCATTTTTTTCTTTTTTTTCCTCTGTTTCGTCGTTTTTCTTCTTCAGCTGCATGCGGCTGACCGATTCCGCGTATCAAATGATAAAGGGACTCGCGCGCTCGTATCGGAACAATAGACGTATGCGCATTTCGTGACGGCGATATTTGTAGATTCCCTTTGAAGCTGGCTCGCGACAGAAATATCCAAATATTTGCTCCCTTCAGCGGACCTCAAGTGACAATTTCGCGTGAAACAATAAGAGGATTATCCCGTGCCGGATAATAAAGGAATCGGCAAATCAATCTTTCGTTCGCGCAGATTTAGTCCGCGATATATAGGCGGATTATTTTCGACTCGATTCGCAATTGATAAGAAAAGCTTTTGTTGCGCGTTGAAACTTTTCAAATATTCCCTTTCTCTCTTGGGTTTGATTTATAACAGCAGAGAGATTATTGATGGATAAAATAACAGGATTCGAGCATTTCTCCCTCAATAAAACGTTCATACCTTTTTATCGCAGCGGGGATTATTTTGAAATCAATTACAATTGATAATAGAAGCCTTGTTAACGCGTGAAACCTTCCAAATGTTTCTCTCTTCGGTTTTACAGTGGATAATAAAAAGTTTGATGTTGAATGTGAAATAACAACAGACTGCAAATATTATTTTTTCGATTACAAACGTTTCATTTGCTTAATTCAATAACTTCTCGAAAAATCTCTGATTGCGACAAGGTGCATTTTTCGTATCACGTGAATTCAATCTGGCTGACCATCTATAGACTATTACTACTTAAACCAAATTCTTCTAATTATTCTGTAACATATAATTGTCATTATGATATTAAGTAATAACTGTCATTATCATTTAATGTTATAATTAATAATAAACTATTGCTATAATAAATAATCATTTTATAATATTTTCAATATCTTTGATATTAATATTTTAATTTGTTCAATTTTACTTTGCAATATCATGTAAAAATAAGTGTTAATAATGATAAATATATATTAACAGCTCAAGTTTTATTTATTTTCCAGCAGTGCGGAGAGCACGGAGAGTAGCATGTCCTGCTCGAGAACGAGTCTATCGGCGGAAACCTTCGCGAGTCCTTGGAAGCATCGGAGACGAGCGTCGACCTATAACGAGGCCCACTTGGAGAGAACGATGCAGATTCTGGGCTCGCCGAAGACTCCCAGAAAGAGGTCCTTCAGCTTCCACGAGCAGTCGTCCTGTCGTAAAGGCGAGGACGACTCGACGCGCAAGAAATGTCACGACAAAGCACCGGAAGGACCGATAACGCTACCGCCACCCTGTACGTGTCCTTACTTCGGGGAATCCTCGAAGAAACCGCCACCGTCGAGCGAGATTGTCATTGTCTCCAGCAACACCATGAAGCCTATCGGTAACAGAAACCTGGAAATGAGTCTTCCAGGTGATACCGCGAGACCCATTGGCAACAAGGGTCCGGAAATGGGCCTACTGGGTAAAAACAACAGTGCCAGATCTACGGAGGGTGCCAAAGGTTACGAGCAGCTGACCCTCGCGAATTCCGTGGTCACGTGGCGAAGCGGAAGACGAGGCTCCAGCCTGGGTACGTGACAATAAGAGTGGCGATGACGTAAACAACAATGCGAGTTTTCGATTATAGCTCTTCGATAATTGCCTGTGGGAAATTCTCCTAGTCATCGCGTGCCGCTAACGTTCCACTAAAAATTGAGGAAGCAGAGAGAGTGAGCGAGAGGGAGAGAGAGAGAGAGAGAGAGGGTGAGCGAATTCGTGAAAGCGGTTAGATCGAGTCTCAAAGAGAGGAGAGTAAAACGGAATTGCACGATTCCCCCAGTTGCTCGCTTCGATTACTCTCTTTTTACGGTTTGGGGAAAAATGGAGAGATTCGTTTGAGAAGAACGTGATTCATGGTCACGAAAAGCTTCCGATCATTGCCTTCCTAGGATCGTGCAGGATTTTCGCACGACTGATCCTGGAAGATGACTGTAAAACTTGACGTGCTCGCTAATTTTTAAGATTCTTAACATGGATTAAAAAATGTCTTTGCAATTTCTCATCTTAAAATTATTAATTTTTTTTAAATTTTTGTATCGTATTTCAAAAGAGTGACATTCTTAGATTACTTGTTTATCTGATTAATTAATTTCAGAAATTCGGTAAGTATTCCTAACATCACAACATCTCCAAAATTTCTAGCTTTGTATTATATAAATTTTAAATTATTTAGTATTAAGAATTTGCACATTACCATAGAGATACTTTTTTATCTAAGAGTAATTAAATTATAATCTTTATATTCTATATAGATCCCGGAATTAGATTCTAATCTTGAAATTTTCGCTAGCTAACGCTCAAATCTTCAAATCTTCGCACATCTGAATACCTCTCCTCACGAACCAAACTTTCATCACTTACAATCTCAAACTTCCCCCAAGATTCCCGCAACGATTTCCAATTTGAAGCGACAGCGGCAATCCTTTTACCCGCAAGCTCATCCATTTTCGTGAATCGAACCTCTCGAATCCTTTGCAGGCAGCACCAGGACCCTGCTGTCCGCTAACGCGAGAGCGATGCCGTTGCGACGCGCGGCAACGATGCGGGCGCACAATGGCGCGATGGGCACGGCGAGCGTGACCTTGAACCAGAGTAATCCGTCGTCGCCAAATCTGCTCAGGTACTCGAGCGGCCAGGTGCGCAGCCATCATTCGCGCAACAGCAGCGTGATCTCGCGCAACAGTTCCCGCCACGGCAGAATCATCCGGCTGGAGCAGAAGGCGACGAAGGTCCTCGGCGTGGTGTTCTTTACGTTCGTGATCCTGTGGGCGCCGTTCTTCGTGCTGAACCTCGTGCCGGCCGTGTGCCCCGACTGCGAGCGTCGCATCGACCGCAAAATCTTCGACCTGGTCACTTGGCTCGGCTACGCCAGCTCCATGGTCAACCCGATCTTCTACACCATCTTCAACAAGGTCTTCCGCCAGGCGTTCAAGAAGGTGCTGCTCTGCAGGTATCGAAATCAAGAGTGGCGACCGCCTAGGTAGGCCCTGAGCCCCGGGAGACCGGGGATCGCCATCAGCAGAGTGTAAACGACGGGAATGGAAGATCGATGCGCGAATCGTTGATGAGAAGTAAAGAGACAATCAGGGCAAATTCGAGCTCATCGAATGGTGCTATTTTACTAGCGCGATTGGCTATAGATTCGAGAAACGTTGTAACAAGGGCCTGAGTAGCATATTCTTTGTATGTGTGTGCGTGTGTGTGTGGATAGCGTTGCCGATTGTTGACGAATTAAAAATTCTCTATCAATTCTTCCTATTAGCGACTCCTGTTTCATATACAATGTTAATTTTAACGAACTAAAAATATTTTTTTAAATCCTCCTATATATATATGTATATGTACACAGCTCCTAAATGTATGTATACTAATACTTCATATCAATTACATATCAATAGACAATAATATGTAATATATATAATGACGCCTATTTTAGTAGTTTTATATTCAAAAGTAATTAGTATCTTCTAAAAAATATTTTATTAGAACAAAATTCAGATCCTTTACCAGGATTATTTTTGATAACTCAAATAATCATGAGATAATTTTAATTTGTATCACTAATTTTTATTTACTTTATTATTAACTTTTATTTTCAATAATTATCTATTTAATACTAAACATATTTTTCCATGTTCAATTATCACTTTCTTCCCAAAACTGATATTTTATTATAATAAAAAATATATTTTATGCGCTTAAACGCTTTTTAATAATTCTTAGATAATTTTCTTTATAAATGTACTATTTCTCGAACATCTTTTGCGTGTACTTAGAAACAACTTTCCGATAGCTTGATCGCGCGAGAACTCGAAACGCGAGTGAACAATCTGACTAGTAGTCTACTAAGTAAACTGTAACATAGTACTTCCAAACACGCTTCCTGTAACCGCAAAATCACTCGATAAACAACCGCAGACTAATTAAATTCCCAATTGAATCTCCCTAATTAAATCCCGCACGGAGTAACGAGGAATTTGTAAATAAAAACGGAATAACGTGCGTTTAATTATAATTACAATCAAGAGCGTAGATTGTGGAAGTGTGTGCGTGTGCGCGTACGTGCGTGCGCGTGTATAACTATAAAAACTTGCTAGTATGTAAGCTGTTATTAATGAAAACGGTGCTCATGCGAAAGTGTGTCAAGAGTGAAAAGTTATCGAAGAACGAGGAAAGAATCCGAGTTCGACAAGACAAATTAAATGATCGATAGAGATTCATTAATGACAATGACGTTGCAGTGTCGTCGATGTATACGAAAGAGAGAAAAATATCTCCGAGAAAAGATCCCTTGATATTTTCGTCATTTCCGGTGTGTAAATCGCCGCGCAATAATTAAAGAAATACGACAAGCTTCTTCTCATTATTTCCTAATTAGGGTAACTCCGGTATTTACGCCGCGCGGGGTTTTACGCCGCAGATGTCAGAAAACATAGAAGGAATAAAGGTACTTGCTCGCAATTATTCTGTTATGTGCCTTTATGCCATATTAGTATTGTGTTGTAATTACAGTTCTTTGCTGTTAAGGGGATCCTATAGCGAAGGCCGAACTTCCTCGACGTCGGTAATGTCAACATTTCTAATCCTGTTTTCTATGTTATATGTCTGTCCTTGTCTAACCAGAGGCATCTGTCTTTGTTCGATTGCTGCGCCATCTCTCGCTACACGCAATACTGCTTATCCTGTCAACCTAAATGTACTTTTGCTTAATAAAACTTCATTTTACGGAATCTTTTTTTCTAGACGTTGAATCTTAGTTTTATTTACACGATATTGTTCCTACATGTTGTCCCTACGTCGCCTTGGTGTCATTATATATATATATAAACTGCAGTAATTTTGTTATTGTCGTCAGATGACAGTTGTATGTGCCCAAATTAGTAAAATTTTTAATTTTTTTTCGTTCCCGATATGAAATCGTACAACGCGATGTAGATTTTTGTGCGTACTTTAATTCTAGACCAAAAACTTGCAATTCTGTAAAGCCAATTCAAAGATTCCCTAAAATGAAAAAATGTCGGTAACTACCGCCACTATAGGATCCCCTAATATTAACGAAACTGTCGTGAGTTGAATCAATTTCTCACCGTAGTAAGAAGCGCGATCTTGTGTTACGACCTACGTAAAATGATTACTGTAGGGAATGTAAAAGGTTTAATGGTTATTTCATGATACATAAGTGTAGAGGAATAGTAAATAATGGAATACAGCAAAATACAAGTGCATAGCTCTTGTATTTTTTGTTTAACTTAATATCTTGTATAATATTCCTCCTGTTTGGGATATACGGCAAGTTAGCATGCCGGGATTTATGCCATAGTACAGACACTTTGTAAAACTCGAAATCTCCTATATGTCTCCTTTTTTCCTTCTTTTTTTGGATCGTATAACAATAATCTTTAATGGATCTATTTTCTTTTAAAAATTTTTCAGTTTTATAATTTGTTTATCATTCTTACATCTTAATAAACTTTTTACACACATCTTATAACATATTATGACATTTTATTGCCTTATTCATAAACATCATTTGTGATTTTTTATAAAGCGTATATTTCACCCCATTAATGTCATATAACCCACCTTTCTGGGATATTGGCAAAAATGCAAAAGTTTCTAAAAGTTTTTTTTTATTAAATACACAGAATGAATATTTCATATTTGTATTTTTTTTTATAGTAGTAGACAGTATAAAGTTTTTATTGGTATAATTTATTTGAGCTAAACATAGTAAATAGTACTAGATAAATTAAGTTTTCCTTAGCTGCGGCGTATATACCGGAGTTACCCTAATTTAGCGAAATGCATCAGTGTCCGATATTCCTTTCTTTTTAATAAGAATTCTCAAGAGATCCCGCCAACTCAAAATTTCATAAATTCCTGAAGGAGCCCTAAAATACAATCCTCGATACAATTTTATTAATAATAATTAAATAAACACGCGCGTGATTGCAGAATCCAAGATGCATGCAGTTGTATCGCAGCTCGGCAATTATAGATCTCACAATCGCGTGGCGATATAATTGTCAATCTTGTCGCGGAATTGTACTATGACTCCGTAATGTCTCGCCGATTCTGAATTCAATTATGCAATACGCGTATCACTGCAGATCCTGCACGCAATTGTATCGCAAGTTAATAATTGCAAATCCCGAGTATAATCGTGAGTAGGTACAGCTTCGCGACTGAAAAATCGACGATTCCCAGATGGGAATTGCGAGAGGGACAGAGAGAGAAAGAGAGGGAATGAGGCAGCCAACCTGTCGTTCGCAAAAATAAAGACACGATCGTCGAATTTGCGCAAGCGTGACGCGGCTCCGACGCCGAACGGTTCGCCGTTGTATCGAGCCGGTGGTTGGAGTACCAGCGAGTACAGACAAATGATGGATACACACACGGTGACGACGAGCCTCCCCCCCAGCAACCCTCCCCCCGCCTTCCCCCTTATTAAGGTTCCCCCATCGGCCGTCCCCAATCAGAAAATCAATTGTAGTTCGTCGCCGCATTAATCGTCCGTTCGGCCGATCGTTCACCGTCGTCACGCTAATTATTTAGTTTTCTATCGTTCGCGGCTTGTCCCGACGTCGACCTCGCGGAAACCATTTAAACGTGAGCAACGAAATGGCTACATTTTACAGCCGACTGTTCCCGAGAAAGAGTCAACCGATAGGCGATATAATGCCACACAATTTCCATTCGATTGTATCAATATTATAATAATGCTTAATATCGCCAAGTGAGTCTTACAACAAATTTTCGATATTAAAGAACCTATCGCACTCTCTAAATCTCATAGAGTAGTTTCATAAGGTAAGGGAGTGAATTTTTCATTCAAATTTTTAAAGTGGCTATTCTACAGGAGCGATGCAATCTCACTCTGAAGCTATAGTGAATCACGATTCATTAAAGATCGATTGATAAATGACTCTAGCAGAGTAAAATTTTCCACTCAAAATTGTAAAGTGACATAATTCATTCCTATGGACACCGAGGAATGAATTCACTGCACTTGAAAAGAGTGCCCTTCAGTGCGATTTCACTCAAATAGAGCAGAATTTTACTTTTTCTTATGCCCGTTCTAGACTGGAGGATGAGCCGACTCTCGGCTCATCCGAGTGAGTGGTGTAGACGGGTAAAAATCTATAGGTTATGTATAGTTTATGTCACGTACACTATAGAAGGAGGATGAGCCGACTCTCGGCTCATCCGCCTTCTATAGTGTACGTG